ACCAAAATGTATTATAATTTGCTCCTCCTTGGTATTACTGCTATTGATAAATCTGCAGTCTAGTTTGATATGAGAAATATTGTCACTGTTGTAGTACTGTTGCTAAAAGATTAGTTGCTGCTTTCTTCATATAAGCTGCCAGGTGTTTCTTTGATCGTGAATATTGGTAACCACTACAAGCTATATTAAGATGACAGAAAGCAGGGATTTACAAATTAGCATTATTAACTTCTTTACTTAGTGAGGCTATGCAGAGGGTGGCTGCTAAACTCAGGATAGAATTTTGTTTAGTGTTTTCCCCCCACAGCAAACATAAAAAATGTGCCCTCTGTATATGTGTGTGTGGTACAATATAAATGCCCACAATTTAAATGTCCACAGTTTAAATATCCATGTTCAATCATGCAGAAATTTCTAGTTTCCCTACATTTCTTAATATAGATTTATTATTTTCTGGCTAGAAGAATTATCTGTCTTGGGACAAGTCTTGGGACAAGTCTACTAAAATCTGGATATGAGTAATTTAAATGTATATAGAACTGTTATATCATTGTTGTCTTAAAATAGTTATGAAATATGCTTGTAAATTTGTGCATTATATCTTAAATGAAATACTTTAAAAAGATATGTGGAAAAGTGTGCTTGATGTTCACACTATATTGTGTGCTTGATGTTCACACTATATACTGATTTTACAGTATATGGATAATACGGAAATTTGTCATTTTCTTTGTTGTAGTATGCTGAAATCTACCATAGAAAATGCATTTGATGGTCTAGTTAAGTGGTCTAGTTACATATCAATGTAATATGGTGGATGATTTGCTAATTTATTTGTTCTGGGATATATGTGTGTATACATATTTCTGTGTGAGAGAAATCCATTAATTATTGAATTGGTAAAGAATGCATTCCATTGGGTTGTTGGAGTGTATATGAGCTGTAGTTATATAGAATGCATTCAGAGTTGTTGTTCAGATTCTGTTACATATTGGCAAAACAAATGTTCCTGATTTAACTGAATAATGCAATTCATTTCATTGTAATTATTGTTCTGTGGAGTTAGGTGTGGATGGCTGAAGTAATATAAACATTAATTTCATTCATTCATTCATTTTCTATAGCTGTGCGACTCAACCAAGTAATTTAAGACGGCTTACAATCCTAAAATTCTAAAATAATTAAAACAATTTAAAAACATCAAAACAATAAAAACATGCACAAAATAAGTAACCAGAAGCCATGATGATTAATAACCAATAGTAAAGCCAAGTAACAGAATCTTTAATACATTTCAAACCCCAGGCCCAGTTATATAGCCAAGTTTTAGAGCTTTGCAAAAAGCCAGTAGGATTGGAACCATTTTAATCTCTGAGGGAAGAATATTCCACAAGGCAGGGGCTACAACAGAAAAAGCTTCTCTTCCAGTTCCAGCCAGTCAACATTCCTTGGTTGATGGGATCTGCATCATACCCAGTCTCTTGGATTAGATTGGATTGGAATAAACTCTTGGAAAACTATAGTCTCTCCGATAACCCAATCCCAAGCCATGTAGGGCTTTAAAGGTGGCAAGCAGCACCTTGAATTGCACCTAGAAACATGCTGGCACCCAGTGCAGCTCCCAGGGTAGTGGTGTTAAATGAACTGTAGTTGGCACCATTTATTCAGTTGTACTTTGCATTAACTGGAGTTTCCAAGTGCTCTTCAAGGGCAGCTCCATGTAAAGAATATTTCAGTAATCTAAGTGGGGGGGTTACAAGGGCATGGATGACAGTGAACAAAGCCTCCCATTCCAGGAATAGGCATAACTGGAGAACTACCTGAAGGTGTGCAAAAGCTGCAGCTGCCACCTGCTCTTCAATTCATTCAGCCTCTTCAAAAGCTTAACCCAGATTTATCAAATGTGGCTTCTTGGATTGTGATATATGCTTTACAACATTTTGGCCTCTTACCTTGTGTCAAAGGATTGCTGAGCAATGACAGGTATACCTATTGGACAAAAGAGTATTATTGACAAAGGGCTAGAAACTGCTGTTCAAGCCTGTGATATACAAAGGTATCACAAATTGTTGAAGAGGGAGAATGAGAGAAAATATTATCATAATATAGTCTATAATTTTTGTATAGAGAAAATAGATGGTTGTAAGAGTCAATACCAACTTGATGGTACATAGTTACTATTTATAGGTTGTATTTAATATTATTTATTGGCCTTATTAGAAATTATGTTTTTCCTATTGTTAGTTTACTGCAAGTAATTGTTTTTTGAGAACATAAGTATTAGCAGCCCTTTTAATATACTCGATGTATAAGCTTGACACTTATCAGCCTCATGTTATGTTAAAAATATTTAAAAATGCTGGCTTATGCTAGCTGGCTGACTTATGCAGCAGTCTGCAAAATCCTTCAATTACGGTGTAGTTTCCACATAAAGGAAGAGATTGGAAACAGGAACAAACTGGCCTAAGCTAACCTGAACCTGTAAGATCAGCTTGTTCTGTAGGAGTACCGGGTAAAACCTTTCATGTCGTGGAGATGGACGTTACTGACTTATCACTTTGTCTACATACTAGGACCATTAAAATAGCTAACGATTTTTTTCAAATATCAGCAACTATATACTTATGACATTCAAGCTATGTAAGACTGATTTCTGTTTATTTCTTGTAACAAATTAGTATTCAAGGTGCTCCAAGACTATTAGTTTTGGCACAAAAGACCCAGCACAGCTATGTATTTGAAAACTGCTGTTTTTTGAGATGCAGGCATTATCCAAGCTTGGTTAAAAGAGAAGAATCTTTTGGAAAGGACTATAGCCATAATGTCCACAATGGGAGGGAGGGACAAAGATACTATATCATGTAAAGAAATGCTGCAAGTATATACAATAGTGGAATATGGATTATTCTGGATTATAATTCCCTGAATTTCCAGGCAACTGGGCTGACTATTTTATGGAAAATATTTTTTGTTTTGGATTTTTAAATGTGGGACAACTTTTGTTAATGTCTATATATGGGCCTTACATACAGTCAAGAAAAAAAAATCAGACTTAACATTCAACTTAGTCATCTGTGATTTGTAATTGTTTATCCTAAAATTCAATTTTTCAGGATAGATAACTTCAGAAATAAAACAGTAAAATCATTGAAGAATAGAATAAAATTATTCAAGCTACAGGGTGTTAAAGCTTTAAAGGTATAACCAATACCTTTAATTATACCAAAACAATAATTGGAGACTTATGCAAATCATTCACTAAGCATAATATGTTCACGTTATGATACCAGATTTAGTAGCCCAGCAAAGTCATTGGACACTTACAGATATGGTCCTGTAGAATTAAGCAGCTTGTGCAACACACAGCAAGGATGATCTCCTTTGATCGGGCCAGTCTTGCTGTGTCCAATCTAATCAAACAAGAGAGAGAAGCTTTTGCTTCTTTAAATATCCTATCCATATCCCCAATATTTACAAGTTACAAAGAATCTAAATTGGATGAGTGTTTCATCATCATTCCCTTATCCCAACCTTGAAGGCTAAATCCGATTATTTTTTATCTGCAATGAATTATGCAGATGCTTAAAGCAAATTGTCAGTTGCTCTAGTTCTACCAATCCAGGATCCTAGTGTCATATAGTGCAGGAAAAAGTGCCACCCAATTCTGAAAGAGCCCTAGGGAAACAGAGAGATTATGGCTCCACTCATAGAAGAGTAGTCCAGGTAGCCTTTAAATGTCATTTGCCCTGAGATTTTCTCCATTTAGCCCTAAGATACTGCTCAATTTGCTTTAGTCCTTCATTTCCCTATTTAACCAGATGACTGGTTTTATTCTGCAATGAACAGAATAGGGTTGAAGAATGATGGTATCTACTGTCCAGACAATTGTTTAATCCTAGAAATTGGCCAGGTTTCAGCATTACTAACAAGGAAACTGGAAAATCCCCAACTGTATTTGAATCCATCAAACAATTGCAGTGGATTGTTTTAACCAAGCTTCCACCTATAATATTTGTATAATTATGCATACCGGTAATTCAGATAATTGCACATATCAATTTTAGGAGGAACACTGCTCATATCTTACAAAAGAGAGAATGATTCTGTAGAAATACATATGTACATAAGGTAATTAAAAATATTTTTTTAACTATGCTGTTTAGTTTGCATGTAAATTTATGTAAGTTTTATCAATTCATCAGTAATTATGCCTTTTGTTGGATAAGAAATCTGATATGTAATTAGTAGTCTTCATTTAGTGTCCCCATTTGGGACTGGTAGCTTGGCTGGTAAGTGAAGTAGCTACTAAGTGGAACTTCATTATTTTATGATCTTACTTCAGCTTTCCTTTGCTTTGCAGTGAAAGTCATAATGCAACAAGTAGTTGCAGAGGTACATTTTCATCACCATCCTAACTGCAAATAGTCTCTAAATGAGGTGGTCACTAAATAAGGACCATCTGTAGAGGAGAATTATTATAAGGCAAGGTGTAGATCTCTGCATCTAACAGTCAGTATGTGATATTAAGCATTTGGCCAATACTAGTGATGGAATGTCATGCTTTAAATATATATATATATAAGCTTGATTTATATTATATGCATCTCATAATGCAACTATTTTGTTTCCCCCATCTAGTACTGTGAAGAATTTGTCATATATCTTTAAAAAGAAGATTGTGTGCTGACTGAAAGTGGTAATATAATATTAGAGAATATCCGGATATAACATTTTAGGGATTTTAAAAATAGATCTCTGCAATTTATTTGATAGATCTCTGCCATTTGGGGGAGAGGCAAATATTGGAACCTTTATTACAGTTGAAGGTAAAATGTCATACTCAAATTAGAAGGATAAACTCTATTATTTAAATTTGCTCCCAGAGTTTTGATAGGGAAGGATGCCAGTTGGAGAATGAGTAGTTTGTATAAAAATATCCCTTCCTTTCTTTTAGCATAGTAACTTTAGCGTGTTACCCTTTTATAGTATATCTTCTCATAGCATGTTGATTGTTTGGTGCTGTTATTTCCAAAGTGTTATTTTGCCTTTCTCAGCATTGCAGTTTCTGTGTTACTTAATTACAGAAAATTCAAGGGAAGACAAAATATTCAAGAGTTCATGTTTTGTATTCAGACCATCTCCTTTAGTTTTGGGTATCTCCAAGTGGTGCTCTGACATACACTTTTCTGACTGTTACCTGTATGTTTCCTGTGCAGAGCTAGTGTTGATAGGTTTTTCAGTAAAGTTCCAAAGGCATCTACAAACCTTTAATGCATCCTTAAAATAGTTACTGTCAGAATATGTCATCACTTTATTTTTACTCTTTTTTTCTCCCCAAACCATTTATTGAAGGATAGAATATGAAAGTAATGTGATTCCAATAGAGAGCGAGCATTTAATTTCCCTCTATGTTGTGAATTTTACTATCGTTTTTTCTCTCTCAAAAATTACAGGAAAACATTTCCTTTTCTCAAGTTACTATTTTTTCAGAATGCACTTAAGAATTTAATCACATTTTTTCAACAAATTTCTATACATTTGGTAAACCATAACTTTGTAATGTAACTTCTTTTTGCATTCATTTATGACTAACTGAAAAGAAAAGAATCCATAGTTTCTATTATTTTTGTAATGTTACACATTAGTCGTCACGTTTCAAATGCTTCTCTTGGTACACGTGGGCAAGAGTACTTGGATAACTCTTAATCAAAAATGAAGCCTGACATCTATAATATTTAACTAGTCTTAGCTTAATCTCAGATGCTGTCTGCAACTGATCAGATCAGACCTCCAGTAAGAGTTATCTATTTCTTTTCTGAGTCTCTGCTTGGGAAAGTTAGAAGATGCCAGAAAAGTGAAAGAAAAAGAAAAGAAAGAGAGCTGTCAGAAACACAAAAAGAGATGTCAAAGAGCTAGTCATTACTCACTTTTTGGGTCTGGTCTTACCAACAGATAGTGGCAGGCCCATCTTCGACAGGGCTTCCCCAAAAGATTTTCCCACAGAGAACCAAATTTAAGAGAAGATTTTGCATACACCATCATATGAGGACAAGTTATTAGCAAAGTGCAGATATGCCAGAGCTAGAAACAGAGATTAGTCTCTTTCGTTTTGAAAGGTTTGATTTCTTGGAATCCGGCATGTATTTTTTTAGAAGTGTGCCTGTTCTTTTGAAAATGAAACTTAAACTAGTGTGTATCAATCATGGTGAGATCACAGATGACTTTTAGCCTTCGCTTTCTGGTTGTAAAGGACATTCATGCCTTATTTCTAAAAGAAGCAGTCCAAGGTGTGAAATTGGCTTGGCTCTTTCCTTATAATTCTGACACCAAAGATTTGATGGGTTGCATTGAAATTAATGTCAATGTATGACTTCTTCTGTCCCAGAGAGAGTTAATAAACCTATGATTTTAAACATCCAGTTACCATAAATTAAAAATGCATTTGTGTGCCTGTTCTAATTGAGGTGCAACTCTAAATGACCAGCCTACAAATCATTCTTTTCCAAGTGCTTATAAATGGATTCCAATTCTTATAATCCCCCTAACCATAGTTAGCAATTAGAGTATTAAGGTTTCATTGCTTTGTTTTAATTACAGCCTTTGTTTATGTCTCTGTTTATAATATATGTTGAAAGGAATATTTACAATATATATTTATAACAAATCTTGAGAGATACCGTAGCAAGGTGACTTATAAAACAGCTGGTCAAGATCCACGCTAATAGACTAAAGGAGTCCAAGCAACAGGAAATCAAAGTCCAAGGTTCAGTCACCTGAAATCCATGATCAGGATAAAATGGTTAGAACAATTGACTCACTACAACATTGTCTAGTTTGAACAAACCAGATGTTATTTATTTTTTATTTTGTTTATTATTCAACTTATACACCGCACATCCTGCCTAGAGGCAACTCTAAGTAGCTTACAAACACTAAAACCAATAAAAGCATTAAAACAATAAATAATATGAAATTAGTTTAAAATTAACAAGATAGGAAGAGAAAGGAACGAAATGCACATGAGGGGGGAGGGATTTTTTATCTAGTCTGTTAACTACCTCCAGAATGATGCACCCCCAGACCAGTTAACATTAACCAGCAGAATTCCACCCAGACTGCAGACTTTTGAGGTATTCCTTTTGAGACATACTAAGCACTTCCTCATATGCCCATTCTTTGATTTTGCACTCCAGAGATCTAGGCTTCAGAGGTTAGATAATGTTGCAGTCAGGTATCCTCCTCCAGGTTCTCGTGAAGGCAGCAGCACCTTGTTATGTTTGAGCTTTTGGGTTCCCTTTTCTTTCTTAGAGGAAAATTTATCCAGAAAGTCGGGGATTACTTGGATAATTTTAAAACTAATTACAGTATTTGATTAGATTTCTTTTGCATCAGGGCAAGTTTTAGAATGTTTTGTTAGTGTTGTAGCACATGCACGGATTTCAGGTGAGTTAGATACACAATCACAAGCATTTATATTGAACTGAACAATTAGATAATCATTTTTTAAAAAACTTGCCTGCTGTGTAAATAATAAAATTGTTCTGTTGTCTGTTTATATCAGCCCTCTCAAACCCAGTGTTTTCTAGGAGTGTTGAAATCCCTAGTCATCCTGGGCATTTAGGATAAGAAAAACTACATTCAATAAATCTTGAGATCAGAACCTTTAGAAAGGCTGACCCTTATCTTGTTAATTAACATATGCTAACGCATTTTGACATACAGTGAAAATTATTTGCAAAGCCTTGTCACATAAAGCAGATGACAATTCTCAAAGTCTTTATAAGAGTTGCTGTGAATCACTATCTCTCAATTCTAGCCTGTTTTATGTAGATAAAACCCTCAGGATATTAACATATCAGCCCTTCTCTGCAATATGGTTCTCCTCGTATCTGATTTTGGTAAAGTCATGAACCTCATTAGATGCTAAAATGTCCTATGTAGCTATGTATCTATGTTTATTTTTATACCCCCTCTTATTACTTTTTAAGTAACTTAGGGCACCAAACATTCATAGTACTCCTTTCTCCTCCTCTTTCCCCCCATAACAATACTGTGAGGTGAATTGGGCTGAGAATGAGTGATTGGCCCAAAGTTACCCAGACAGCTTTTATGACTAAAGTGGGACTATGTAACATGTTCTTCAGTATTATAGTATTACTCCATTCCCATGAATTGGAGTAACAGTTACAGAGGCAAATCTTACCCTATTTCCCCCCCCTACTATATTTCCTGTTCAGATAGCATTCATGGATACTAACAGTGGGATATTACTATTGTGTCAAGTACTAGGAAGATTAGCTACAAGGGAAAAACTCTGTGATATCTTCTTAGGTTTATACAGTTAAAAAAAAACACCTAAACATTTCCAGCATGTTTTGCTTGATCAACTATTGAGGCTTAAACTTACACTGAAGAAACTGCAAGGAAATTTCCCCCCCCCCAAAGGATAGCTTATTATGCATTGCCCTGTTAATCAGTCTTTCGCAAACTGTGTTGAAGGGCAAATTTCTCTCAAGATGAATGATTTATTTAATATAGCATATCCCTATTATTACTGATAATATCCATATTATCAGTATAGATTATATTTACTTTTGATAGAATGAAACAAATTAGCACATGTAACAACATTCTACATTTTCCTTGGCCATTCACAAATTTCTTCCTGGCCAAACAGTTTGTAGGTGAGTGAAAGAAGTCACCTTGCAAAATGTAAATATCCTTATGTATTAATAACAAGCCAGAAGTCAAATTATGGGTTATTGTGCCATTAACAATTGCGCTTAATTTTTTTGGTAAGTCCTGGTTTATTTGTACTGTATTATAAAATTTATTTAGGATTTCAAGTCATCAGGGTTTTAACAATAATACCTAAAAGTAAAATAATAATAATAATAATAATAATAATAATAATAATAATAATAATAATAATAATAATAATAATAATAAT